AGTTTGATTATAATATGTCTTGGTGACTTTCTTTTGGGATCTACCTTGTGTGTGGTTTGATGAGCTTCTTGGATAGATATCTTGTCATCTTTTCACGATATCAGGGAAGTTTTCTGCCAATAAATCTTCAACAATTCTCTCTATATTTTCTGTTATCCCCCCGTTTTGGTACTCTAATCACTCGTAGGTTATTCCTCTTGATAGAGTCCCACATAATTCTTAGGTTTTCTTCATTTTTTTTTTCAGTTATTTTATCTGATTTTTCCTCAGATAAGTTGGTGTCAAGTGTCTTATCTTTAATCTCACTAATTCCAACTTCCATTGCCTCAATTCTGCTCCTATATCTTTCTATTGAGTTGTCTAATTCTGAAATTTTATTGTTAATCTTCTGGGTTTCTGTTTGCTCTCTGTGGATTCTTACAGCTCCTAAATTTGTCATTGTGTTCTTCTATAACCTTTTTAAATTCCTCTATTGCTTTGTCTGTGTGTTCCTTGGCTTGTTCTGCATTTTGACTGATCTCCTTCCTGATATCTTGAAGAGTTCTGTATATTAATCTTTGTATTCCAAGAAGTTTTCTTCCTCTGGAAAATTTCTTCTTTGATTTGGGAACTTGCTGAAGCCATCAGGGTCTGCCTCTTTATGTGATTTGATATTGACTGTTGTCTCTGAGCCATCAATAAGTTATTTATTTACTGTTTGCTTACTGTGTCTTGGCTTCTTGTTGTGATGTGCCCGAATAGGCTACTCATGTGAGGTAGTTTGATTATTGGTGCATTTGAAACTCTAATGTCCTGTCACCGGGTGGTTAGATCTTTTACTAGGTATGTTAGCGCAGAAGTCCATTTACTTTTCTTGTATGGATTCAGCCCAGGTGTCCAGGTAGTTGGTCACCAAGTGTGTGGTGCAGGCTCTCACCTACAATCCTAGATGGATGGGGTGATTGGAGTAGGCACAGGTATCTGGCTGCAGTAGGGGGTCATGTGCTGAGCAAGGCAGGGGGCTGACAGCTGCCCCTGAGTGTCTGGGAGGAAAGTGTGTCCCTGTTCACTAGAGTGCATAGGTGGGTGGGTTTTGCAACCAGACTATGGGCACCCAATGCTGTTGGCTGTAAGGACTGGGAGGCACCACTTATTCTTGGACCTGTGTCACAGGTGGCTAGACAGTGTGGGTGGAGCCTTAGGCCCCTGATGTGGGTAGGTGAGTACCCTGGTTAATTGGCAGAGTGGTATCAAATGTCACAAACCTGCCACTCCACCATATAGCTGATACAGTAAAGTTAGGCTTCAGGTATATACCCTGTTGCACTGTGGTAACGAGGGCCTACGCTGTTGAAATGGGCCCACACAGGTCTATGCATGGGTGAAAGGCATTCAAAGTCCGTGTACCCCTTATGCCTGTGCCTAGGTGAAGGAGCTATGCCTGCCCTGAGTTCCTGGCTTAGGGGAGCAGACAGAGCATTTTTTCCTGTTTGTTTGTGTTCCGTCTCTAAGGCCGGGAGAATGGGTCAGGGTGCATGATGCATCCTACATCCTGTCCAGGGGACTCAGGAATAGCTGAAGCCGGCCCCGGACCCGGTGCTGAGTAGGGAAGGAGCAGGTAAACGGGAAAGAGGTTCTTCCCAAAGGGGGTGGTTTTTGATCCGTGCGGTAGGTTAAACACATGTACTTATCTTTTGCCTATTGAGCATCGCTTTTACTGGCTCTGGAGGCCTGAGCGGACTCTCCACCGCTTGGTCTCTCCCAACGTGGAAAATGCTTCCTGAACGCCAGCGCCTGCCTCACCTCGCATGCCAGCCAATCCAGCCTGCCAGGTGCCGGTTTCCACTGGGTCAGGTCTGGCAACTCCTTGCTGCTTCTGAACCATCTCTCGCTCCCCCTGCCACTCAGTCTGATTCTTCAACTGTGCCTTTGATGTTCAGGGCTCCTAGATTGTCATATATAATCGATTCACTTGTGTTTTTGAGTCTTTGTTGTAAGAGGGACCACTGGAAGCATCTGACTACTCCGCCATCTTGGCCCCACTGCAGTCAAACCATTTTGCATGTCTCTGTCCCCACTCCTTCCTCACTGGACCTGATCCAGGATTCAGATGTGGGTCTCTTAACTCTAAAACTCTGCCCTTTCCTTAAACTATATGCCTGAGGAAGAAAAGCTGAAGACCAGGTCAGATGTCAGCCTAGGGGAAGAAAGGCCCACAATTAGTGGGAAGGAGGAGGAGCAGATAGGTGGGAAAAAGGGAGAAACCCGACAGTAGGTCAGCAGTGCCCAGTGGGCTCACCACTGTGGTGGGCTTCTACTGAGGAGGCTCAGTCCTCTCAGACAGTAAAAAACCCCAAAACCAACCCCATTGTGGTTGAGTCAATTCCAACTCATAGCAACCCTATAGGACAGCGTAGAACTGCCCCATAGGGTTTCCAAGGCTGTAGTCTTTATGGAAGCAGACTGCCACATCTGTCTCCTGCAGAGCGGCTGGTGCGTTCAAACCACCGACCTTTCGGTTAGCAGCCAAGCACTTAACCATTGTGCCACCAGGGCTTCTCTCAGACATTAGTGTCTGCATTTCCTTAGAAACCTCCCCAGGGCCCTCAGCTAGCAGAGGACCTGGGATCTGGTCCTCCTTTTGTCTGAGGCCAAGTCTAAAGACTTTCTGTCCTACCACACTGGTCCTCCATGCGCTATCACAGAATAAATTACAGCAGAGGCTGTTAGCCTTTCTAAGTGAGAGCTACTTGGAGCACTTAATGAAAGATGTGGACCGTCTTCCCAGAAAACTGCACATCTGAAATAGAAGATTTTGTGTACTCTGCAGAGTTCTCAGGCCCGGGTAAGTCCATCCAGTGGCCTAGAGCCTCCCCAGGCCCTGAGGCTAGGAATTCCTCCATCCAAAGACTGTGTCTGCCCTGAAAGATAAAAACAGCCACGTTGAAAGAGGCAGCACAGCCCACCGATGTCACACATGGAGATTTGAATCCAAAGGTGCTTTGGGGAACTGTCCTCAGAAGCAATGGGGCTTTGCACATGGTGGTGCCTCAAAGGGATGAGAGCCAACCCGTTCTGTGCCTAATTCAAGCCCGGCCCCCTGGATGTGAAGCCCAGCGCTGAGCTTGTTCCAGGGATGCTGCCTGTCCTCAGAATGTACTGTGGCTATTTCCAGTATCAAATGTATCCTCACAAGACAAAGTTATGTCCATTGTTGAGAATATTCACAAGAACATACTACAGGCCCTAAAGAAGTTCCAAAAAGAAGTTCCAAAACCATCTAGGAATTTGCAGTGCTGGGTGTGGCCTTCCCAGGCAGCATGCACTTGTTGGGTTTTTAGTTTTGGCCTCACTGTAGAGCCAAGGAGGAGCGTGTCCCCAGTGCTTCTCAGAGTCAGGCACTGGAGCCGAGAGCCCACAGTGCCTCTGCCATTCAGGACCAGGAACTTGGGAAAGTCCCTTCCCACTGAGACATTTCATGTTTATATTTAGTCAGGCCTAGTGTAGCAGACAAAAAAAGCTGACATGGCAGTGTGTGTCCTCAGCCAACTTCTCCCCCTTCCTCAAAAAAATTATGGAGGGAGAGTAAGACTGGCTGAGTCTCATAAGAAAAGGTGAGAACAGAAAACTCAGTGAAAGGCTCCTTGTGGAAGTGGGTGAAGAGCACAGCATGGGGGGATGTCTCCCAAGATGAGGACAGAGAAAGAAGAGGAAGGATCTTGGAAAGAGAAGGTTCTTAGGAAGGCATTGAGTTTTCTTGAGTTTGGGGGAATGCATCTGTGGAGCTATACAATGGGACACAGGATTTCAATGAATACTGCTATGGGGGATGTGCTTTATCCCCATGGAATATGATTCCTTCTGGAGCTTAGCTTGTTTTCTTGACCATGGCCCCACTCACACTGAGCACAATGGGTCTCCTTCCTGTGGGGTTACACTCATGCATCTGAACCAGGGCCATGCAATAGTAGCAATGAAGTAACAATGAAGTCCCCTCACAACCCTGGTCCATTGTTCCTATTTCAACAAAATCTTCAGCTGCCAGAGTCTGTGTCCCCCCAAAAGGGGACACGATGGAGAAAAGATTCCTTTATGACTTGTTTTTAAATGAGCTGGTGGCAGAGCCCATCATCAGTAGAAAACCATGACTACAGCCTCACTTCCTAAAGGCTAACAGGAGTCTAGAAAAGATAAGGTTGGTAGGCAAATTAAGGGATTGCATCCTAAAGTGTTATTTCAAAAAGCATCTTTGGATCCCTGTGGGACCTTTCCCATGGGAAGGACTCAGGAAACTTACAATGGATTTTTTTTTTTGGCGGGGGGAAGAGGGTATCAGGGAGTGAAAGAAACCCAATTCGAAGTATTTTAAATAAAAAGGAGTACTTAATGGAAGGATGCACACAGAAAGGTCACAAGCTGGACAACCAAGCTGCATGAGAGATGGGCCTGAAGCTGGGCTCAGAGACCAGAGGGAGCCAGGGTTTGGAATGCAGCCAGAATAATCCATTGCTCTCCTTTGCTCTCCAGTTACAAGTTTTATTCTCTGAAATGTCCCTATATAAACGGGGAGATGGGATGGGGCAGCGAATGCAGAGTAACCACCTCACAGCTCCACCAGCCCCGGGGGTGAAAGTCCTGGGGAAGAACCTGTGTGCCCAGTGCTGTCTCGGTGACCAAGGGCACTGCGACAGGCTCAGCTTTGGTTCGTTATCAGGAGGATGATGGGGCAGGCATCAAGGAGACGAGATGACACCACTAGAGAACGGACTCCATACACCCTCTACCTTCCTATTCCCCTTTAGGAAAACCTGTGCTCCTTAGAGAAGAGCCCTGATGGTGCAGTGGTTAAGCGTTCTGCTGCTAACTGGAAGGTCAGCAGTTCGAACCCACCAGCCACGCCATGGGAAAAAGATGTGGCAGTCTGCTTCTGTGAAGATTCACAGCCTTGGAAACCTCATGGGGCAGTTGTACCCTGTCCTAGGGCCACTATGTGGTAGTAGATTATGCTCCTTAGAAGCAAGGATGGCAAGACTTTGGCCCACTTGCTTTGGACTTGTCATCAGGAGCAACTGATTCTTAGAAAAGGACATATTTTGTGAACTACAGGGTCAGTGAAAATGAAGGAAACCTTCAATGAGATGGATTGACACCACAACCACAAGAATGGACTCAAACATACCAACAATCATGAAGATGGTGAAGGCCTGGGCAATGTTTCATTCATTATGAGCTGAAGCTAACTCTACGGCAGCTAATGACAATTCCCTAACCTGGACGAAGAGAAGATTTTCCCATGCAGGCTCTACCTTCCTTGGCTGCCTTCTCCTCCACAACTGAGATGAGGCTGTTGTTTGATGATTCTGTGTGTTTAGTGAAGATCAAACGACAATCTAGCCAGTTAGTTTGTAATTTGCTGCTTTTTTACATTTTGACTGCTCCTTTTGGAATTGGGGAGCTATGGTCTCAGAGGTCTCCGAGGTGGTAAGTTCACTACAATGTCCCACTAAGGGAGCTGTGTCAGAAGTCACAGGTGTGGGACCTAACATGGTGTCTGCCTGAGACCTGGAGGCCTCCTCTGCTGTCTCCAAATCCCTAGGGAGGTCTTTTGAGCTCACCTGGTCCACTCTCCTCCTTTATAGATGAGAAGATTACAGAGCTGAGTGGTGACCTCTGCCACCCAAACTTTTCCCCAGGAAACTGTAACCTCATTTCAATCCTTACAGAAGAATTACATCTTGATAGATATTTTATCAAATCATTTCCACTAAATGTGTTCTGGTTATCTTAATGTTTTTCAAGTTTAGACAATTTGTACTTATCAAAACATTTCTAAGCTCTGAACAAATGATAGAAGATTTAAAAAGGGATGCTCTGGTGACAATGACAGTTCAAACACAAACAATAAATAGTGCAATAGAAATTAACAGTTCAACACAGTGATTTTAACGTAGGTATTAAAATATAAGACCCAATTTTATTAGTTCCTAAAAACTTACCTACATGTTTTCTGGAAATTCTATCAGTTGGGGATACATTTCTACCAAGCAACCCAAACTTAGAGTTTGTTGCCTTATGTCCTTGTTAATGTAGACTTATTTTTTTCTAGATACATAAAAGTAATTCAGATAACCTCACACTGTTCTTAGCCAGCTAGCCTGAATACCAATTTGTTTCTTTTTCTTCCCAAGTAACTTCATCTTGCTACTCAACCCCCAATAGAGACGTTAACTGATGTGTTTTTTGGTCATGGTTTCTTTAAAATACGTTAAGTTCTAATTCTTAACAATTAGTTCACTCATAATTCACTCACTTCAAAAACATATATTTGCCTGATCGTTAGGAAGCACTATTTGGCTTGCTCCCCAAGAAAGTAAATTTAGCAGTGACGTGAGAGAAAATAATCTGCAAGATACCCAAACCCTTTGTTTCTCTTCAGCACAGTATTGGGTTCAGCAATATAGCACAACATTTATTACTTGTTCATTTATTTTACTAAGGCACATGATGTATAGAAATACTGAGGTACAACGCAAATTTCTGCATAAGATCTTTGAAATATTCATTTTGGAAAATGAAAGTAAACATCATCTTCCAGAATATTCAGCTTTTAGCTTGTTTTTTCTTTTGGACCAGTTCAACCAGCAACTTGTATCTAGCGATACAGTCTTCCTGCAGGAAGAAAAAAAGAGAGGTGAAAACAGTGACTCCACAGTTGGCTTGAGTTTCTCTGTGGAGTTCTTTTTGCGATAAGCCTGCTTTTTGGCCAGCTTATCCGCCTGGGCCCACGCTAGTGAAGAGGTATCCCGTGCATTCGCTCTGTACACTGGCTCTCTCCCAGAACCCGCCTGGCCTTTTCCAGGTGACTCCAGCTGGTCACAAGGCTGACCTGGCTAGACAGGTGCAAGGAGGCCTGTCTCCACTGCTGAAACTCCAGCCCAAAGTGTAGGTGCTAACCATGGGTATGAAGCAGTCAGGGGCAGCTATCTGTCAGGCACATCACTTTATGATAAAAAATGTCAACTTGCTATCTACAATTATAATTTTAAAATTTCACTATGTCATTTTGGAGAAACCAAAAGTCTTGAGGCCAGGCATCCATGGTATCATCATTTTCATTCTGGGTTTGCCTTTGCCTGAGGAGCTGCTGAGGCCTTCTCGTGGGGCCATGCCAACCCAGCCCCACAGGACACTGGCATGGAGTGTGCTGGGACTCTGCCCTGCTCTCCCAGCCCTCCCAGATCATGCCACGGGGCTCCCTTCCACCTCGTCAGGGCTACAGATCCTGGCTGCCAGTAGCTGTCACCCTTGTCACCTCATGTCACTCATGATGAGAGCAGAGATGGGATAACAGTGGGAAGGGGCTTGGCCTCGCTACTTTCATGGTTTATCACAAGGTATTTTCCAAAATCCATCCAGTTTCTATTAAAAAAATACTAGTCCCAAAGGCACTGTGAGCCTTTAAGATCTAATGCAAACGGATTTCTGAGCTATGGCAGAGAACTCTATCAGCTGCCTCGGACAGAGAATGGATATTCCTTCTCTTCCCAGGATTTTAGTTTAGTAGTACTGTGACAGTATCTCCTAATATGTGCCTTGCGGCACCAATTTAAAAATAGAAAATATAAATCCATGCCTTTCCTTTATGGCTACACTACCCCTAATAGCACAGTACACAAAGCAGAATGCAGCCATCCACCAGCACTTAACACTGGAAGGGCACCGTGTAAGCTGAGCTCTCAACAGCAGGCCAGCAAGGGAATGCAGGCAAAGACCCTCCTACAGCCCAGGGTCCCCACTGACAGAACCCCACAGCCAGGCCACGTGGCAGGTGAGCCAAAGTTTAAGGATCATACAAGCCTTTCTCATTTTTGGCTGAAAACAGGGAGGTTCCCAAACGCCAAGGCAATGAGCTTCTGGGTGTCCTATCCTTAGGAATCCACAGTTCCAGTTCCTTCATTCTAAGCCACTGTCGATTCATCACACATGTCTGACAGATGCTAGAGAAAATTCAGGGGAAATGATGACTTCTGGCACAGCAGCTGGAGAGGCTGAGAGAATCTGCTTCGCAAGTAGATCAACCGCTAGTAGTTTATTTTTCTCCCCAGGAAGTCTCAACTTCCTCATTTTAAAGTAGGTGACAGATAACTAGACCTGCACACTCAGGGACGTGCATGGCCACGAGCTAGATTTTCCAACAGAGAATTTCAATTAAAAAAAAAAGAATGTAAATGAACATCAATGTGCCCAGAGGCTGGAGTGACGGGCAGAGCCAACAGGAGAGATTGGTTCTTTTGATTTTTCAGAGCGTCCCTGGTGCCTCGGACGAAGAGCATGGCAGAGGAAAGAGGCCCCATGAGACTGTGTGTCAAGAAAGGCCTGAGTTGAAAAGATCACCCCCTGAAGCTCTACAGCTCCAAAATACCAGATTACAAGGCAGATAATACCAAAGACCAGGGGTAGGGGGCTGGCTTTCCATAGGGTGCACCCCATCTTTCCTCCTCTCGAAGTTTTTATTTGAGAACTATCTGAAGATGTATTTTAGCAGATACTAAGAGCTATAAAAACAGGGAGAAAAGCCAATTATAAATAGCCAAGGTTACAGAGGGTAAGTTGAACCCTAAATGTCAATCTCACATGAACCCACACAAAAAAAACACTGTTCTAGAGCCTTTGATCAACTAAGCATTCCTACTGAGTGAAAATGAACTTACATCACAGAAGTGATGACTGTCACAATAACATCGTCCACCACACACAGCCCCTTGGTTAAAGACTGGTTTTACCAGGGATTATGATTTTATGAAAAATCTCCTCACTTTGGGTAAAGGGAGCCTCCCCATGTGGTACTGACCTACAGGTGCGCCACACTACCTTTCACGTTTACCATGATGCTGCTGAGCCATGCCCCTGCCGCTCTCAAACAGCCCCCCACGCCCCAGGAGAGTGAATGCTCAAGAAGGCTGGCTGGGTCGTTCTGTAAAGTCTGGGCTCTACAAGAAGTATCTCTGAGAAAAGCTAACTGGCCTGTATAATGACTGACTGTAAGCATATACACACTAATCTACTGAGTGCATAAATTCACATCTACAAGTACAAATATACTGGAAGGGAACTGGTAAATAAGATATCATGTAAATAGTTGCAGATGGAAAGATACTAAAAAGGAGAAAGAAAAACTATACAGCACTGCTGCAGCCGCTGCAGTGGTATCCTAAAACCAGTGCAGAGGCCTTTTCCCTCCTCACCCACCTTACTCTTAGATGGGACACACTTGGCTATTTTGTCCCAGCGGTCAGAGGATCCCTTTGGATACTGCTGTAATGCCAATTCCAGAAGCTTCTGTTGATTCTGAGTCCATGGTTCCTCTGTAGCACGAGTTCGCTCTTTTTTCTGGCTCTCCTCATCACTGGATTCATTTTGTTCTAATATTTCGAAGTCCTTCTGCCTCTTTGCTCTGAACTTCTCCTCTGGCTCTACCCTCATTACTGTCTCAAGCAATCTGGCCGGCTTCCGCTTCCGAGGCCGAGTTTCAGTAATCCCAGCCTCATTCTGCTCTCCTGCACCCTCCTCCAATTCCTCCTGCTCCTCCTCCTCCACTCTCCCCTCTGCATCTTCGCGCTGGGTGATGATGTCATCTGGCAAGGCCACAGGGGTCTTAATGGGTCTGGAATTCTGAGCCGTTGACTTGAGTTCTGCGAGTCTAACCATTCCTATGGGAAAGGGCCACGCCACACAGATGGTCAATTCAAGTGACAATAATGACAACAGCTGCCTACCACACATCAGACCCTGTGCTAGGCAGTTTGCATAACTTATTTAATTTTCATACTGTTCTAGAAAGACAGGTAACATTATCCTAACTTTGCAGGTAAGGAAAGTAAGTCTCAGAATGCAGCAGAGGGGGGGTGTTGAATCGAGTTCTGTCTGATTTCAAGCGTTTGTGTTTTTCACTACTCTGAGGAATAATGGGTACATATAGAATTGGGTTGTGATCTTTTTGAGAAAAGATAACCTGCTACTTATTAGGTAAAGAAAGATGTTCTTCACAATCCAGAGTTTTTATTAGTTCCTGTAGCATAACTAAAATAAATCTGTCAATGTGAACTTACTATACTGCCTCTGGCAGGCATGCGTACAAGTAAATCATACTAGTAGCAATTACAAGAATTTTTAAATGTGAAAAGAAAAATTTTCCTCAAATATTTGAACCTTTTAATAGGATGGATGCTTCTGACAGATAACATTAACACCCTCTATTATCAGTAAGATAAAAGGACAAAGAACAAAAATAGACAACTCACAAGGGAAGAAATACAAAGAGCTAAAAAATATTAGAAAAATGCAAATTAAAAGAATGAATTATCATTTTTTGACTATTAAGTTGACAAAAATTAGAAAGTATAACAATACATAGTAGTAACTGGCCAAGATGCAGAGGAATAGGTACATGCACACACTGGTGATGGAAGTATACACAGGTCTAGCCCAGGCTGTCCACTAAAATGCTCTGTGACACTATTAGGAACTGAAATCTCTAATTATTTAAATTTAATTAATTTAAAATTAAAATTGAATTTAAATAGCTACATGTGGCTAGTGGCTACTGTATTATACAGTGCAGGTCTAGCTGTTCTGGAGGACAATTTGTCAAACGTAGGTAAAGCCTTAAAAATCTATTTAACTGTGACTCTAGAATTCTACTTATAGGAGGTTGTTATGGATTGAATTGTGTCCCCCCCAAAATATGTGTTGGAATCCTGACTGCTATACCTGTGGATGTAATCCTTTTTGGAAATAGGGCTTTCTTTGTTATGTTAATGAGGCCATACCAATGTAGGGTATGTCCTAACCCTAATCAGGGCGGGGGGGGGGGGGAGGAGGGGGAGGTACCACACAGATGGCACCTGAGGGTTACCAAAGAACATTCAGGGCTACTGTCAGAGCCAACACCCTGATCTGGAACTTTAGCCTCCAGAATTGAGAAAATAAACTTCTGTTCTTCAAAGCCACCCGCTTTTGGTATTTATGTTACAGCAGGTAACTAAGAGGTTATCCCAAGGAAATAATCATAGATATATGATATGCTAAATTTAGCTACCAAGATGCAGTGTTTTATTTCAGTTTTTGAAGTGATGTCTTTTTTTTTTTTTACTAGTTTTTTTAAAAATTAAAAATATCCTGCATACAATGAAAAATTCAGAGTACGAAAGAGAATATAATGAAAAACACATCTCTCTTAGACTGAGTTCCCAGTGCCCTTCCTCAGGGGCAGTAATGAATTGGTATGTGTGTATAGACTTCTAGAATATAATTACTCAAGCACATATTATGTAATTATATTTTTCTCCTTCTTTTTATATTAATAGGAGCACATTACTTGGAAACTATTCCATATTAGCACATGTAGATCCACATTCTCTTTAGTGAATGTGGCACAGCTTATTTAACTAGTCCCTTACTGCTGGTTATTTAGGTTGTTCCCAGTCTTTTGTTATTACAAACAAGCGGCATTTTTTATAAGCATTATCTCCATACGTTTTTGATTTTGTACTCTAGTATAAAACAGTCTTGAAAAAAAATTTTCCTGAATATACACCTCTATGTATATTTACCTATATTTATGAATTACAGCCATGTACCACTCTACTATTATTTAATTATAAAACACATACAAAAAAGGTAATCAAAATCAATTACAAGATAAAGATGAAAAATATTTAAAAATAATTTTATTAAATGAAACAAAGTTCTCATAGAAATAACAGTAATATTAAAAACAAGATTGAAAACACTTCAGTATTGCTTAATACTGGGTGAAACACTGAATTAAAGCACCAGTTCAAAATTAAATTTATTTTGGCACTTGATTTTTAATGGACATGAGAGCTGAAAAAGCTAACTCACAAAGATACGTATATTCAAATGTAGCACATTGCTGCCTGTGCTCACTAGACTTTGATGCTCGGTTTGCAGTCCTAATTATCAAATGGCTTTCATAGAAATCTTCCCTAAGCCAATCAGTTGTTCTTGCAAACTAAATGGAAGCCGTCAACACTTTTATATTTTAACAAATGAGTTCATTTTGTTTGAAAGATGCTTAAACAGGTTAAATTCTATTTTCAAAATTTTTAAATCTACAGAAATAAGAGTATTTATAAGTGCCACATAATAACACATACACACATACTAACAGAAATACTTTCAAAAAATCTTTTCAAAATGTTTTTCTATAGCATAAATATCTAAAAGTTACTTCACATTCATTGTTAAAATGTCATTTTCATTTTTTTTTAGAGGTAAAAGTTACAATTTTTATTTTTCCCATACAAAAATTTATACATACATTGTTATGTGACTCTAACTGCCTTCCCCATACTATGACAGCACACTCCTCCTTTCTACCCCTGATTCCCCATGTCCATTCAAACAGCTCCTAATCCTCTCTACCTTCCCATCTCACCTCCAGAGAGAAGCTACCCATTTAGTCTCTTGTATCTACTTGAGCTAAGAGGCACACTCCTCATGAGTATGACTTTATGTCCCACAGCCGAGTCCAATCCCTGCCTGAAGAGTTGGCCTCAGATACTGTTGTAGTTCTGGGCTAATAGAGAATCCGGGAGCCATGCTCTCCGGGGTTCCTCCAATCTCAGTCAGACTATTAAGTGTGGTCTTCTTACTACAATTTGAGTTCTGTACTCTACCTTTCACCTGCTTCATCCGGGGCTCTCTGTTGTGTTCCCTGTCAGGGAGGTCATTGGTGGTAGCCAGGCACCATCTAGTTCTTCTTGTCTCAGGCTGATGAAGTCTCTGGTTTATGTGGCCCTTTCTGTCTCCTGGGCTAATACTTACCTTGTGTCTTTGGTGTTCTTCATTCTCCTTT